TCTCAATGATCTGAGACCCTGCTTTAACTTCAACCCAGAGCAGTTACACATGACAAGGAAAATGCCATCATTCTGGCAGTGGTGACAGAGCCACAGGTCAGCTGAGGCCACGGCCTGGGCAGGTGGAGAGAGCTCTGCTGAGGAAGCCACACCTGTAATCAGAGGAGGAAATCAGGCACACTTCCCCCAAAATGAACAATGCAGCAATTTACTTGGGAATCTAGAGAGATGTCCGTTTCCTTGAGTCCAGAACGCCAGGACTATTTCTTAGCCTGAACATTTTTTTTTAGCTCCTGAGGAAGGAATCAGGCCACAGAAACTGTCAGGGGCTGCTACCATCACCTGCGAGGAGCTGCGAGGCTGCTGCAGCCCAGTTGTCTGCCTTTGGAAAGGGCAGGTTTCCATCAGGAAGATGTAGACTACACTTTGGTAAAATATTTCCCTGGCCAGCTGGGCTGCAGTTCAAGTGGCAGCAAGACTGTTTGCACAAGCAGCCTTCTGACTTTTAAATGGCTTTGCTGTTCATTTATACATCTCTCTAAGTGCAACCAACCAGAAAAATCAAAAGACTGATTTGCATCAAAAATTTATCTGGATGATTCCTGGGAAGACTGGTCCCAGAAGCAGGTTTTCAGCCCGTGACAGTCCACGGCCTTGCTCCAGTACTCATCCCATCAGCAGGAAGGCAAACTCCAGCTCCTTGGGAAGAAAGAAATTCCACCCTTCCTACCCCTTCCCGAGGCAATAATGACAAACTGGCCATCCTATAAATTCTCAGTTCACCACAGGTACATTCTGTCTCTAACATCACAAACACGGGAATTTGTAAGCAAAGTCCATTTCACAACCAGAGCCAACACAGCTCTGTGGGACCACGACTCAACGTCTGTCACCACAGCAGCCTCCCAACACCTCTGCCATACCCGAGCAGCCCATGCAGGGGTTTGGAACACATGGTGCCCCGCTTCACCACCTTCCAAGGATTTTGCTCTTTGCCTTTTGCACACCCTGAGAAGCTCAGCTGTGTCTCAGATTTTGGAAGCACATTGTTATTTAGTCAGTGTTTGAGTTATACTGGGGAAATTGGCCAACAAGCAGGACCTGCAGCATGACCCGAGACTGCTGGGCTGGGCTGCCTCATGTCAGTGTCACCTGGTGTCACCTGGTGAGCAAATCACCTGGATGTCATGTTACACTAAATGTGCAAGACAAAATAACCCCCAGAACTGGAGGGTGCTCAGGTACCACAGTGACAGGTACATTTTGAGAACAGAGGAGCACTCTTGCTTAAGGGTTTTTCAACTAACTTCCCAAGATGATGATTACAACATTTCCTAGGGGGCAAGGAATCCTTCAAGGAGAATCACATCAGGGCCCAGCTGCACGGGCTGTGAGCTGTGTCTGATGCCAGCTGGGCTGGGCTGGGCCCCTCTGCAGTGGGGCTCTCTGAGGAGGACAGGCCTGTCCTGCCTGGGCTCTGCCAGGGGACACTGCTCCAGGACAGCCAAGGGGACAGGGCTCTGCTCTCTCAAAGCAAACAGCATTTTATTCCCCCTGTGCTTTTAGCCAAATCACTCCATGCATCTTACAGACTCCTCAGAGGTCTCCAGTATTTTCTCTCAAGTTCTGTGGGGAGGAGAGTGAAGAACAAGGGCTGAGGTGGTCCGTGCAACAAATGGGCTTGGTCAGAGGCTTTGTGCTGGCGTCTGGAGCCCACCCTGCTGTCAGACCCGCTGGGAAACCCCCTCAGCCAGAGCCACAGAACAACAGCCCACACGACTTTAAGCTGAATCACCAGCTAAGGGATTATTAACTTCCAGCTGCGTTCAGCCCCATTTCCTTTGTGCAACAGTGTGTTTAATTGCAGATTCTAATTTACTGTTGCAGAGCACAAGCCCAGGTCCAAGGATAAATTAAAATGACAGCTCCATGGGAAGTTCGGAATTTAACTTCCTGACTTATCTGATTTGATGCAGATACAAATATTTAAATCCAGCCAAGGAAACAAACCGCCTGTTTCTAAGAAGTTACAGCTGGAATGGGGGAAAATGGATTTTGTAGGAAGAGAGGCTGCAGCAATCAGTGCACTGCCACAATGCCCACGGGCACGGAGCAGCCACTGCCCTGAGCTTCAGCTGGTGCACTGTGCTCCTCCCCTGCGAGGCTCATTTGGGTTTGGGTTTTTTGGTGGATTTTTCCCTTTAGTGAAAAACTGCTTCACTATCCTGGGAGTAAGAGGTTCTAGTTTTAAATCTCCTTTGCACAATTTCCCTGTTCTCTTCTCAAGGGAAGCACCGAGCCTGTGAGTGAAACAAATGGAGCTTGGTGTACGATCAGTGCCCATCCCCACACTGATGCACATTAGTTTTGTTGAAACAGATCACAGCTAAATTCAAACTGCATTAAAAAAACAATATATATAAAAAAACCCAGCGCTTAAGTTTTTAGCACAGCCGAATCCTGTGACAGAGGTGCCAGGGAAAACTGCACGCAGGATCCTCCCTGCTGCCTGGGATCCTCCCTGCTGCCTGGGATCCTCCCTGCTGCTCGGGATCCTCCCTGCTGCTCGGGATCCTCCCTGCTGCCTGGGATCCTCCCTGCTGCCTGGGATCCTCCCTGCTGCCTGGGATCCTCCCTGCTGCTCGGGATACTCCCTGCTGCTCTGAGCTCAGGCAAGCAGCTGCCAGAGAGGCTCTGGCTGCCCAGAAGAGGAGGAGGAGGTGATGCAGCAGTTGCACAACGTCACAGCCAGGCCATGTCACTGCCCATGTCACGGGCCAGCCGCCGGTGCCGGGTCAGTGCCCGCCCACGGGCAGCCCCACCACGCCAGCCAGGGCTGGCACTTGCCATGTGCTCCCCGCACACGTGGAGGTGGACACTGGCACAGGAGCACTGGCCGCTGGGGAGGGAGAGTGGCTGGAACAGGCCTGAGGTCACTGTGACTTTCTCCTCCACGCACCACGAGGCAGGCTGGCTGACCGACCACTCCTCCCGCCGCCAGCCCAGCGCTGCCACACTGACCGACGGACACCCGGACGGCCAGCCCTGTCCCAGGGCTGCACACCCCAGACTCCTCATCACAGAGGCTCCTCCTGCAAGCTACAACATCTGTGGTGCACAGGCAGCAGAGCTGGTAAAGCAGAGCCGTGCAGACACAGCCCCCGCTGGCGAGACAGTCCCACACCAGGAGGGAATACTGAGCATAAGCCCTCCCAACCTCTGCATTTTCACTCCACTGACTGATTGAACACATTGCAATTACACCACCCCAAGACCTCAATCAGTCCCAGATGGTGGGCACACACAACAGCATGGGAGAAATCACAGCAGAGCAGCCAGGTCGACAGACCCGATCCCAGCCATCCTGATTCCCAGAATGGATCCATGCTGGGAAAAACAATTCAAAGGCGGCACTGAAACAGACCTGAGCAGAAACTTGAAGGAAACAAAAGGTGGGTCTGAATCTGTGAATGCCTTCTGGACCATCAGGAAGCACCTTACACCCCCGAACAGGACGTGCTGAGGGTTTCACTCCCAGCGATTTACGGAGCTGTTGGTCCATATGCCCGCAGGCAGCACAGAACTGCACCACACCAGAGACTCAAACACTGCACAAGGGAGCCAGGGAGGAGGGAGAGGCAGGATCAGCCATCTCCACTGACAGTCTCAAACAGAATTTTAAGGTGCTTCCCAAAAGCACAGAGTAAAAACACTGCCAGAGCAGAGTCTCTTCACAGAGAAGTCTGCACGTGCATCAGCATTCCCAGGGTGTCAGCCACGACACCAGACACGGCTCCTGACACCCTGACTCTGGAGAGCAGTGATGGGATCACTCTGCTCCCTTACTGCTGATGGAGGCTCATCCCCACAAACATCAGCCGGCTGAAATCCAAAGAAAGGCTCAGATCCTCTCTAATGCCCATTAGGCTGCAACACAACCACGCCCCCAAAAATACCTTTTTGAGCAACACAAACAGTGGATAGGTACCATCAGAATTTGCCCCAACCAAAGGCTCTCTGAGGGAAGTGGCTGATGAAGACTAACGAGAAGGGCTGAGCTGATCTCACTCTGAGGCATTACTGACTCTCCAAAGTGAAGCTGGAGCAAGTAATCAATGTCCAGCACTTCTGAACACCAGAGGGAAATGATGTGTGAGAGGGACTAAGGAAAATGGGAAGAAACTGAGGAAGAGACAACATTTTACTGTGGAAAAGCCCATTGTGATCAGTCCTCAGCATCCTTTATTCTAGTTAGAAAGTACGAGGTGTACTGGCTCTCTTCATTTGCACCATAAATGCAGCAACTCTTCCAGTTTCCGGATAAATTTTAATTGCATTACATGCTATTAATTTCACTCACACTCACAGAGGACATCTACAATTTCTTTTGTGCTACCATTAACCACTTTCACAAACATTAAACAAGCAAACACAAACACTAACTTCCCTCCAGCTGCAAACACAACTGAATTTTACCTGTACTTTCCCCCAGACTCATTCCTGGTACCCTACCCACCTGCAGCTTCATGCTGCAACCCCAAATTCCAGGCCTTCCCTGCTTCCAAGCAAATGACCTGTACTCCCATATCCATCTCATCAAATACTCGAGACATACCAAACCTTCATGGAAATCCAACTGTTTTAGTTAAGCAAACAGAAAACCTCCCCAAATCATACAGATTAAAATTCACCTGAATCCAAAACTAGCAGCTGAAGTTCACTCAGCCTGGATCTCTATGATCATCTGAATATCTGCTCCCTGTGCCACCACTGCTGGAAAGGATGTTTTGTGGTTAATTTGGAACTTCTAGAATAAGGAGACTGCATGAAGCAAGTGTTCCTAGAAGATCCAAATGCTCTGGAAACCTGGAGTTTATAAATGACCACATCCTGTGGGAGGAGGAGGAGGAAGGGGACTGTCTCTCCTGTTTTCCTTTGCACTCCCAGGTGAGCTGCAGCCCCTGCCCAGCCCAGCCCGAGCCCCCAAGCACTGCACATACCTGGATGTATCGCAAGGCACTCCTGAGGACACTGAGGTTTGAGGTCTTCTTGTCATCTACGTTGGGGATGTTGCGCTTTAAAGTCTCAAAGCACTCTTTCAAATGTGCACGTCTAAAGAAAACACAGGTGGGTCGTCAGCTCGTGGGACACACACCAGAAACCAATTCCACATAGGGGAGAGCCTAACTGGGGCCTTAATCCAGCAAAGCACCTACACCTGTGCATAGCAGACCCCCAGCCCAGCCCAGCCCAGACACCACAGGGCTGTGTGCCTGGATTCTATTCCAGCTTTGTTAGGAACACTGCAGCCTTAAATGAAACATCTCATCTCCCTGTGCTTCCACTGTCACCGTATTTCTGATTTAGCTAGTCAGGCTTGTAAGAGTTTTGGGTCAGGAACTGGTTTTTCTCTTGTATTCACACTGTGCACTGACCCCTGATTTTGGTTCACTGCTTTAAAGGAGTCACACTGTTATGCACACGGGGGTTTGCTTTGCGGGATGAGGGCTTTGCAGGGTGATGGGACGCAGTGGTGCAGTTAAACAGAACATACTGGGAAGCCAGAAATGCAGAACTGAGCTGTAAGAAAGCAAAGCAATGCTGCAAGATTCAGTAAAAGCCACTAAGAATTTTGTTCAGGTTCTTTGTTTAAAAACAAACAAACAACAAACAAAACCCCGCCAAAGCCAAACAAATATTGACAGACTATAGGCCAAAAAAAGAACGTGAATTACAATTAAAAAAACCAAACCCCTGGCTTTCTACGCACCTGTTCTTCTCCAATTTATTATGTACTTCCCTGGTCCCAACCCTGTAACCCAAACAGAACAAAGATCAGCTCAGTGTCAGGTTGAAAACTCCTGCATTGCACCTGTGCTTGCAGCAGTGTGTGTGTGCCAAGGAGATACAGGTCAAGATTCAAAAGCAACAGAGGTGTTCAGATATCACTGGTGTAACATTAGGCACATACATATTTCTGCCTATGCTGTTTCAAGATAAACTACATACTTTACACGTGCATTAGATGGACACATTGTGCATATAATGCACACAAGGTACAAACAGGTGTAACCTACACCTACGCTCCAGTGGGACAAGGTTTATGCAGTTTTAAATTCAAATGTACAATACTGGGCAAACACTTCCAACTGCTTCAGGTTTTTACTGTGCCTGAAACAACAAAGCTGAGGATAAACATGGAATGAAGCAATCCAGGAATCCTCCAGTCACCACTCAAGGAAGAACCAGAGTGGGCTTCTGGTTTTGGGGTTTGAGTTCATCCCCACCCTCCAAATCAGAGGACTGTTTTTAGGAAAAGCTAAACAAATAAATGTTCTCAGTTTTTCAGCTACAGTGGTGTTTAGGTACATTAGTAGACGTGTAGATTTCAAGTATTTTCAATACACTGTGCAAAGTAATTATTTGCCTTTATCTGAAAATACAGGACATTGAGATAATCATAATCAATAAACTGTCAGGTATTTGAAAACAAACATTTGTCAGCATTTTCCCATGAAACATTTACAGGCTGAAAAAGACACCTTTTCTGTGCTTATGTCTAATGGAGTAGTTCTAGGGGGACACAGTGGTGAGCTGGGCTCCACATTGGGAGCACGGCCCTCCCAGCCTCCCAGAAGCAAAGCTCAGTGTGATGGCACAGGAGCAGTTTGTGGGTGCACCTGAAGCCACCCCCCTCAGACTCGTTCTGCCCTGGTACCCCCATGCCAGCAGAAACTGGCTCCACAGCCATCTGAACCCACACAAGGGCAGTGACAGGGTTGCTTGATCAAAGCATAGGCTGATGGACCTTTCCCACAGCTGGGTGTTTTACACACAGGCTCTCAAGATCTCAGTTTTCCACAGAGAAATCACACTGGCATTTTACCAAAGCCTTTATCTTCACAAACTCTTATCTGCATTACTTACATTGTTTCCTTCTATGCATTTTGGGATCTCTATATCCCAAAGGACACAGTGAACCCTTTTTCTGTCCACTACACGTTACATCTCCTCCAGCCCCCCTGGGACTTGCACACCATCTCCAACACCACTGCCAGGAGTCATCCCCCCGCTGCAGAACAGTCCCAGGCCCAGGCAGCACAGCCCAGGAGGGAAGACTGAACAGATCCAGGTCACTTATCCTGCAGGAAAACTAAAGGGCCAAGGGAAACAGGTAAAACTGCTGCAAAGAAGGGAATGGTTTGTTCTCCCATTCCACAAGCAGTAATACCAGACAGTACTGGGATGCTGTGGTCTGGAAACAGCCACCTACGGAGAAGGCAGAGTCACCACCAGCCAAAGTCCTTAGGAACGAGTCAGATAAACAGTACCCTGGAACAACATCAGAGCCACAAGTCCTGTCTGAGGGTGAGGGCAGATTAAACAGCCTTCAGCCCCTTCCAGCTGCAGGATTCTGGGTGAGCAGGAGGCTCTCAGCACTTACAGCACTAAGAAACTGAAACAGCAGCTAAGATGATCCCTGTCCTGGGAATGACATCTCCCAGATCACATCCCAGTTTTCAACAAAGCTCCTGCAAGCAGCAGTGCCATGTGATTTCCCTGACCAGTACAAGCAGAGATCTTTTGTCAAACATAACACCAGATGCCACCTGAGATCAGACAGGCAGGGCTGGGACTTGCTTCCTAACACCGTTCTGGCTTGGAAAAAAAAGTCCTGGTACAGAATATTACAGTGTGGAGTCAGGGAGGAAAATAAAATCCCATCAAGTTGAAAAACCCTGCTCTCAGCAATCCAAACGGACATCAAATATCCACAGGTGTCGGTATTTCTGATCTGACAACGCTTTGCACAAGCAGGAGCTGCCCCAGAGCGATGCAGGTTTTGGTACCATCTTTGCCTGGTCCCTGTTGGACACCTCCACACACACAGTGCACTCACCCTCCAATTCTCTTCTTGAGCTCGATGGGTTTCAGGTCGTCTGCCGGGGCCAGCTTCAGGGCGCCCAGGGGCGCGGGCGCTGCCGGGTGCTGCAGGGGCTGGATGGGCTGTGGGACCACGTGGTGCTGGGAGATGGCCAGGACCGGCGCCGGGTAATGCTGGAGCTGCTTGGGGCTGCCCGACGGCGGGGTGACAGCTTTCCCATCCGGCAGGTGTGGGCCCGGCGGCCTCTGGATCACCGGAGCCACCGACGAGGATTCCTTGGGGACACTGGGAGTGCTTACGAGGGGCTGGTGGCGTTGCACGAGCGGCGGGGACAGGGCGGTTTGGGCCGCTTGCTGGGGGGAACTGGTGACAACGGGGATGGGAATGACTGAGATGGGGGCTGCCAGGGGCGGGGGCGGCGGGGGCACCGGGGCCGGGGGGGAGACGGGCACCAGCAGTTCGCTTCGGGGCTCCTCCGGGGAGAGGGCACTGTTGGCCCGTGGCACGCTGGCCTTGCTGGCCACCTTCTGCTCCTGCTCCCTCTCCAGGCGGAGCTTCTCATGCTTCTCATTCTCCTCTGAAAGAGAAACACTCACAGTGAGCACTGGTGCTTCCTGACCTTCCCCAGCCGCAGCCTTGAACCAACACAAGGCAGGCTCCTTAAATTAAAATACCCCATGCTTTGTACTACCCTGAGTAAATCCCAGCTCAGTGGACACTGCACTGATACAAACCCGCCAAGGCACCTCTTTTACTGCTGTGGCTTTTATTCAAGCTCCTAAACTTGGCTTTGATGTGTGTACGTTCCTATATGTTTTTATAACACCATACAAAGTAAATGAAATCTGTGTGGCCTGACTAGCAAAATAAACCTCATCAAATGCGATCCGGGGCTCCGGCTTTAATTGCGTGAACATGGCACAAGGAAAATTTATTTATACAAGTCCTGTGGCGCCAGTGGCCCTGGCATCTAGACATCACACAGCCTTAATCAAATATCTCCAAACCCACTGTCCATGAGGCTCAGCAGATCCTGCTCCTGACAGCCGCAACTAAAAGTGCTGCACCAACCTCTTCAAAGTAATATACAAATATTTGGAAAATAAACCCTTACTTCATCAAGGAAGGATCATATGTTTGGGTGTCCTCTCATATAGTTGCCAGAATCAAGAGGAAGCTCCAAGAAACATCCCAACAGAGCCTGTTCCCAGGAGAAGCTTGGGTTCAACTGAAACACTGAAGCTGGGGTGTATATTTAGGAAATTTGATAGAAGAGAGTGTATCCTGCAACCTGGAATTACCAGGTTATGTTCAACCTCGCAGTGATCTTCAAGAAGAAGCTGCACTGAACACAACAAGCAGAACAAGGGGAAAAGGGCCCCCCCAGGCACAGAGCTGCCCAGCCCTCACCACGCCTGAGGGGCCCTGCCACTGCTGGGATAATTTCTTACCTGCCTTTTAATTTTGAGGGGTGCTAGTGCAAAAGCTACAGAGAGAATAAAGGGAACAAAACTCTTATTCCTGTTTCTGAATGCCCTTTGGTACGTGTGACTGCACAGTGACACTGCCCCAGATTCAGTCGACGTGATTTCCTGAAGTTCAGCTGCAGCAACAGCCCAAACACACCCCACTCACCTCAGGAGCCCATGAGCAGGGTCAGGCACCCATCTGACTGGGTAAACACTGTCCAGCAACCACATGGGGAGAAACCACCCCTGGACTGAGCTCCAGCACCAGGGCTGCAGCCCCAGTCCTTGACCCCACAGCACTTGGAAAGGCACCCACGAAACTCCATGATCAGGAAGGATTTCACATCCATACACCACCCCTCCCAGGGCGGCCCGAGACTCAAATCCAAAGTTTTAATTCAACTCCTGCAGCACAAGTAGAGGTAAGTGAGCAAAAGATCTGACTGACTCCAAAAGAGGAGGCAGGATGCTTAAGCAGCAGCTGAGGCTGAAAGCAGCATTGCTCTGTATTTTCTCAAAATATTTCAGGGTAATAATCGATATTTCCTTAAAGGAAGAAGCAAAGCAGTGCAGGGTGGCAAAAACCCCAGTAGGAGTCTCCTGATGTAAACACAAATTTTAACTACCTACAATTTCTGAGTGGCTCAAATGAACAACATTAATAACCAATACAGAAAAGCCCTTTGTCTGCAGATCTTTTGCTCCACTTTGCTGCTGGTTCGCAGCCAGAGCCAACGCGCCGGCCCTGGCACAGGGCACACGAGGAAACCCAACCCTGGGGAGCTGCTGACTCACAGTGTTCCCTGCGCGTGTCCGGCCACGCTGCAGCTCCGGGGCAGCTCCGGGGCAGCTCCGGGGCAGCTCTGGGCACCCGGCTGGGCACGGGCAGAGCGGCGGGGACTGAGTGGCACCAGCGCTCCGGGCACACGCCGGACCGCAGACCACACAACTTCCACCCAGACTTCAAACTGCACCGGGATGGAGAGGAGGGAGCAGCAAGGCAGTCCATTAATGGGAAGCCCTGGCGGGGTCTGGTGAGGGGAGTGGGACCTGCCTGGGCTGCACTGGCGGCTGGAGGTGACGTTGCCACAGCAGAGCAGAGGATCCAGCCAGGAGAGCCAAGGGCTGCGCTGGCAGCGCTGCCAGGCGGGAGCAGGAGTGGGCACGAAACTCCTACAACGGCAGCGTCCCCGAGGCAGCGTCCCTTCCTCGGGGACGCAGGAGAACAGGGAAGCAAGGTTAAAGCACGCCTTACTGATCAGAAATATTTATGTAAATGTCTCTGGAAGCAGGTGCAGCCCTCGGGCTGCTGACAAGCTGCCAGCAAGGCCTTTGGTGTTGCAAATCTTGAGCTCCCTTGAGCTAAAGAGTTTATTTCAAGGATTTTTTTTAGCCAAAATCTGACACCAGTGAGCCCCTGTCCTTTTGTGTCTGACTCATCCACAGGCAGAAAGGATCCACACTGCCAACCCCTCCCCAGCAAGAGGACTGGAGGGTCCCTGAGTCACCTCTTAGGACAGAAACCCTTCCACTGGGTGATAAAATCCTGTGTCCTGCTCACTTTGTACTCACACCTTGCATACAAACCAAAGACACCCTTTGAAAGAAACCCCCTTGAGTTCTATGTTTTCCCATATGAAGGAAGTTCACCCATGTTCAGTCACAGGTACATGTCAGGGATGAGTGACCAGCACACCGTGTGCTCAGACACAAGTGAGGTTCATTCCTTCCCGTGCAGCGCACTCAGCACAGCAACTCCTGCAGGCCCAGACACAGAAAGAAGCCAAGGCTCAGGGCATCCCCTTGGGTTATGAGGACAGCTGAACCCAAAGGTGCACCCCAAAATTATGCGTGATTTCCACTCATTCTTGACACTCTTATCAAGGGGACTGAGGATGAGACAAACCAAGTGAGCGAACCAGCTCTGAGAACCCTGCAGGGGTCTGAACCACAGGCCAGGCACGAAGGGACCAGGAATCCCACCCTGCCCACACCACTCTGCCATCATGCCCTCGTGCTGAGAGCAGGGACCTCAGTTCCCTGGCCATGCCACCCAGACAGCGACAGCAACACCAGCAGCCATGGGACAGAACAGCAAATCCTGTCCTAGGAGGACACAGAAACAGGGTCAGCACTTCTGACCGGTGGCCTGGTGCTATTTTAAGGCCCTGATGGTCCAGGAATACACATTACCAAGGCACTCAACTTTGTTACCTAATAATCTGCTGCATTTAAATATATCTCCTCCCTTTTGCCTGCCCTGGAAACACCACCCACCTGTCACAGCCAGGGCTGCAGACACAGAGAGCAGTGTGGGGCAGAGCCACGCGTGCCCCACGCCCCAGGGCACAGCCTGAGCCTCCCGGGGCAGTGCTGGAGGAGCAGGCCTTAAGGAATGTCAGTGCCCTTTTAATGCTCCTATTTTTCACTAGGGACACTATCAGAACTCAGAATTTATCAAGGGTGTGTGCCTTTGCACAGCCAGTCATCCTACTTCTGTGCTCTGTGTGTGCTCAGTGGTCCCTCCCCAGCACATGGGCATCCCTAACTCTGGAACAGAGAGCCAGTTCTGTGGTGTCATTTTCTGAATGGTCTGAACTGTTTCTCTGAACCATTCAATGCTTCTGGGAGCTTATTCAGCACACCCTGAACAGCTACATCCCCAGAGAGGAGTGGTCTGGGTGTCACTGACACAGGATCTGGAGCAGGGTCACCTGCAGCAGTCGCCCCAGGTTCCTACCAGGAAAGTGCTGGGGACAGAAAGAATCTCCAGGTATTTCCTCCTCCCAGGGCCAGCCTGGAGGGGGACAGCCATGCCAAGAGGAAGGGCAGGCTGGAGCCTGAAGGTTGGTTTCTGTTTCTGCAGGTCCCTGGCTCTGCAGAGGAGAACCAGGAAAGGGAAGATAAGAACAGTCAGCAGAACTGGAGCTCAGCAAAGCTCAGCCTGAGCCAGGCAAGCTCTGAGTCATAGTGAATGCTGCTGACACCAGAGGCTGCAGCAACCAGCCACGGGTGCTTCCAGGCCCAGGAACATGCTGTAGGACTGAGACCCCTTTGAAATCGGGACCCCTTTCTCTGAGCCCCTCTGAATCCTGGATGACAACAGCACAACACAAGACCCACTTTTCTCTACCATCTTTGCTAAAGTCTCACTGTTTGGTGTCCCTTTGCACCACTGCTTCCCCACCAGTAACGTGGCAGACCCCACACGGCCCTGCTTCCCAAACCCCTCCAGGCCATGCCCACAGCGCCGGGTTGGCTGCCGGGCACCTGGTGACACTTCAAGCCTGATACCAAACCAGGCCTGATACCTCCTGGAATGCAGCAGGGAAAGACCCTCAAGAAATCTTGTAATTCATCTCCCAAGCCCCAAAGAGGAATCAACCATAACCAAATAAATACCTGGCAGACGTTTCTCACATTAACAGCTTTTCCAGTCCCTATGGATAATTTACATTGTGCTTTAATATGCTGTTCCAGCACTTAACTGAAACCCTGAATCAGCTCCAGAGAATCATTTTAGCTGCATTTTAGTTATAACTAACTCTTAGTGGACAAAAGAAAGAAATAAAGCGCCAGGATTTAGCTGCACTACAAAGGAAAACAAACCAGATCAAAACTGCTAAAAAACCAAAACCATCATGGAGAGTCTTATCTGTACACAGACATCCCAGGGCCAGCAGGTCACTGAGGGGCCAAGCATGTCACGTGCTGTCATGGCTGCAGCACCACACTTTGGTGGGCTGGAGGGATGCAAAATTCCTGTTAGGTACCACATATCTCCTGTCTGCAGGACTTGGGATGAAGTGCAGGAAAGCACTGGCTCTAACAGGTGGAATGGGCACGTGCTGACTGCTTCAGTGTCCAAGGAGCCTCCCCTGGGCAGCCAACCAGGTGAGCTGTCCTACACAGGATGGGCCTCAGTGCTTTTCCACCATGCCTTGGCATTCTTAAGAGACAGAGAAACAAGGTAATGTGCTCTGATAAGCATGTATTTGTCAGCTGAACAGCTTCTGTGTCACAGTTCAGAGCAAAAAGTTCACTGATGACAGGCAGGATCCAACCCACTCGCTCTCACGCACATGAGGACACTGCTGCCCCTGCTTCT